GTGTGCAGGCCTCCCTGCCTACGAGCTTGCGGGGCTGGAGCGGGCAGTGCTGGCATCCAAGAGCCTGCTCGTCAGCGCACGGCTGGTGCACGAATGGAGCGAGGCATTTGCCCAATCACGGCCAGCCGCCGAGGGCAGTCGTTTTGGCATCAACGAAGCGGCCGAGGCAAGCAGTTTGGAAGTCAAGTGGCAGACGGTGCAGTGGGGTGAGGTAGAAGACACACACGATGTGCAAAGGGAAGACCTGCGGCGACAGCTAGGAAGCGCCGTTGTTCTCGTTAGCGGGAACGCGTCATAAGGTACCAGACAAGTGTAAATTAGTGCATGTAACATAGCATAGCAACTGCTTCAGTCTAGAGAATCTGGGACGACGAGCACGTGATAGGCGGCGGCGGCGTGCAAAGCTCCGAGGCGCGCGATTGGCTAGCAGGACCCTCAAGGCACCGCCCGTTGAGGCTGCATGCACGTCGACGGCCGTGATTGGCTGTTGTGGCTGTTGTGGCTGGTGAGCCCGCGCCTCTGACGAAACCCCAAGCTTGACGAGCGCCCCGCTATCAGTTTCCCTGGCCGCAAGCAAAGCCCAGACCCCTATATACGAAGCCTGGCTACCAAGCCCATGCATAGTACATTCATCGGTTGCACAGTCTTGCTTTGTGCAGTGCCCTCAACTTCAATTGAACATCGAACCCGCAACCCCGCCCTCCGTCTTTGCTGTGTTCCTATACGCGTTCTGCTGTATCTCTGGCTTGGTCGGCCAATCAAGCGGCCATGGAAGGGTAAGTGCTCGGCTCCAAGCCTGCCAGTCGTCATGGCGGGGATCAGTGTACAAGGCACAGCTTGCAGCTGCTAAGGGCCATTGCTGACTGCCTACTTGTACAGGCATAAGCGCTCCAAGTCGGCCAGTGTGAAGAACCTCCTGTCGCGTGTGTCGTCAAAGCCCGACGGCGACGCACCCGAGCCTAGCGACAACTCTCCCCCAGGCTCAACTACGTCGGCCACCTCGCAGCACGCTGCTCAGATCAAAGGATACAACGCGCCAGGACACGGCCGCAGTCTCTCCAAAAAGAACCCGCATCTTTCTACTAGCATGTCCGGCCCCGGCCCAAGCCAAGACGCACTCAGTCCCTCGTCTCCCAGCATCCAGCAGACACCCACCTCTCCCACAAAAGCAACCTCAATCGAGCAGTCAGTGAAGCTCTTTAGGGTTTTTGAGTCGCTGCGGAATGGCGATACGGCAGCTATATCACGCGCAATCCGAGAGCAGTCGAGCCCAGCCGATGGCGAGAGTAGCAGGTCGTCAATACAGCTCCCCAATGCACGCACAGAGGGAACCTCAATCCTGCACTTAGCTATTCAGTGTGCGGAGCTACCAGTAATTGAATTCGTCCTGTCAAACGCCACTGCATCATCCGACTCACCTGTCGACATCAACGGCCGCGACCGCGATGGCAACACACCGCTCCACCTTGCTGCCATACTCGGTCGCACTGCAGTTGTGCGCATGCTACTCGACCAGCCCGGCATCAACGACTCGGTGACCAACTACAACGGTCAAACCCCGCTAGATCTCGCCCGTACACCAGACATTTTCCAGGCCCTGCAGCTGTCGCGGTCCATTTTCATCGACACGTACGTGAAGAGGATACAACAAATGGTCTTGTCAGGGGACATGGATAGGCTGGAGAAGATCCTCCAGGATAACCGGGTCAAGAGCACTCTCGATGTCAATGGCGGCGAGCTAGCGACTGACCCGGTTGTTGTTGACGCTGGAGGCACGCTTCTCCATGAAGCTGCAAAGAAAAAGGATGTCAAGCTGGCTCAGTTGCTCTTGTTGAACGGAGCCGACCCATTTCGCCGCGATCGCAAGGGTAAGCTTCCCCAGGACTACACCAAGGACGACCGTACCCGCGCAATCTTGAAGCGATCACCCGCAGCCGCAGCCGCACAAAGAGGAATACAAGAGAAGACCATCCTCGCTGGTGCACCACCAGGACAAGCAGCTGCAGAGGTTGGAATGGGTGTCAAGGAATCACGCGAGATGAAGGGATACCTGAAGAAGTGGACAAACTACACGACTGGGTACAAACTGCGTTGGTTCGTCCTTGAAGATGGTGTGTTAAGCTACTATAAGCACCAGGATGATACGGGATCTGCATGCCGTGGTGCGATTAACATGCGCATCGCCAAGCTGTACATGGATCCCCAAGACAAGCAGCGCTTTGAGATTCAAGGCAAATCGTCTGTAAAGTACCATCTCAAGGCAAATCATCAAGTCGAGGCTAAACGATGGTACTGGGCATTGAACAACGCGATTCAGTGGGCCAAGGACGAAGCGCGCGAAGAAGAAAAGCGAGCTACTCAAGACCAAGAGATGCTCAAGCAGGCCAAAATTGAGCAGATCAAGGGCGAGGGCGACTCTTCCAGCCTTGGGAGCTCCAAGATAGCTGGCAGCTCCAAGCAGCATCCAACCAGTAAGTTGCTCTAGAAGACGTCTCTCTACATACTAATATATCCCAGCATCCAATCTAAACATTCCTTTGAACAGCGTTGATGCCACGTCTTCACGAACTGCGGTCAGTGTCACAGAAGATCCCGGTAGCGCCTACGAGCCTAGTATGCACAGCCAGGGTCTTGACAGGCTGGTCAGTCACATGGGAACAGCGACTGTTGCTGGCGATGACGACGACGACGATGAGTATGGGGACGATTCGAGTAGTCACGAGATGAAACCGCAGAGCAAGGATGCCTTTAACATCACTGCGCAGTCCGCGAAGCTACAGCTTGATTTGTTAACCTCTGTTTCTGCAGCACTGCAGACAGAAAAGGAACGATCGCCCAATATGCAGATTTCTGACCCTATGATGTTGCAAGCGCTGGCCTCGTACGAATCAGCCATTGGCAACCTCAAAGGACTCATCGGAGATCTCCTCAGAATATCCAGGGACCGTGATGCTTACTGGCAATACCGACTAGATCGCGAAGCCAATGTGCGTCGCATGTGGGAAGAGAGCATGGCCAAGGTCGCAAAGGAACAAGAAGAGCTTGAGAATAGGATAGGCGAGTCGGAGGAAAAGCGGCGAAAGCAGAAAAAAGCACTCCGGGAAGCGTTGGAAGGCTTCGAGAAAACCGAAGCTGGAATACCAGCAAAGCAAGACGAAGATGAATTCGCTGATGCACAAGAAGACGGTGCGCAGCAAAAGGAGGCTACAGCGCCCGTAGGCGCATCCACCCGAAACCAGAAGATTAAGAAAAAGGCCACCCTGGCAGACATTGCAGCCCACATCTCCGACTCTGAGTCTGAGGATGACGAAGAGTTCTTCGACGCCATTGGTGCTGGCGAAGTCGAAGTTGTGGAGATGCCCGCTCCCAGCGCTCCTCAAGAAGTGAAGAGTGGCGCCCCAGATTCTTCCGAAGATCCATTAGAGAAAAAGTCTATGGAAATTGCCACTGCGTGGGCAGGCTACGAAGATGGTCCACGAAAGCGACTGGCAATGGATGCAGATGACAGGCCGAAGATTTCACTTTGGGTATGTTCAATCTCACTGCCACTTTACACAATACTAACGGCTGGCTAGGGAATTCTCAAGTCCATGATTGGCAAGGATATGACCAAGATGACGTTGCCGGTATCCTTCAACGAGCCAACCTCGCTCCTCCAACGTGTGGCCGAGGATATGGAGTACACTGATCTTCTCGACACTGCTGCCGAACGATCAGACTCCACAGAACGATTGCTTTATGTCGCTGCATTTGCGGCTTCCGAATACGCTTCTACTATTGGGCGTGTCGCAAAGCCTTTCAATCCCCTCCTTGCTGAGACTTATGAGTATGCCAGGCCGGACAAGGGCTACCGCTTCTTCATTGAGCAGGTCAGCCATCATCCACCCATCGGTGCTGCCTTTGCAGAGTCCAAGAAATGGGATTACTATGTACGTTCTGAAATCTAAGCTTTATAACATCATCTGACAAAATGCAGGGCGAGTCGGCGGTAAAGTCAAAGTTTTACGGCAAATCCTTCGACATCAACCCGCTGGGTACTTGGTTCCTGCGACTGCGACCGACTGCAACAGGCGGAAAAGAAGAAATGTACACGTGGAAGAAGGTCACATCTACCGTCATCGGCATCATTACCGGAAACCCCGTCATCGACAACTACGGCCTCATGGAAATCACCAACTGGACTACCGGGGAGAAGTGTTTGCTGGATTTCAAACCTCGTGGCTGGAAAGCCTCTTCAGCATACCAGGTCATCGGAAAAGTCATGGATGCAGAAGGCCGAGTACGCTGGAGCATCGGCGGGCGATGGAATGACAAGATCTACGCTAGATTCACCCCTGGCTTTGAGGATGCAGACATTGACAAGGGCGGTAAGCCGTCAAAACACGATGACAACAAGGCTTTCCTCGTCTGGCAGTGCCACGAGCGTCCAACCGGCATACCCTTCAATCTTACTCCGTTTGTCGTGACGCTCAACGCCATCAACGATAAGTTGCGCCCGATTATTGCCCCAACAGACACCCGACTCCGGCCTGATCAGCGCGCCATGGAAGATGGTGAGTACGACTTTGCGGCCACGGAAAAGAACCGCGTGGAAGAGAAACAGCGTGCTACACGGCGGCAGCGAGAGTCAGAGGGTAGAGAGTTCCAGCCTAGATGGTTCTCAAAGGGCACATGCGAGATTACCGGTGAAGAGTACTGGGTTTTCAACCACGAGTACTGGAAGATCAGAGACCGTGTTGCAAAGGGTGAAACGTCGTGGGATGAGGCTGGTTTGGAAGATATCTTTTAGATTTATTTCTATTCGTCGGTTTGGCTTGGTAAAAACGCTAGAGTTGTAATTTGAATGATATACACACACTTTTCGGTTACTCGAAACATTTGGTCTTATCGCTGTGCCGTACCTAGCTGTTCCATAGTAAGATTTGTATTCCCACCCGTCCTCTCGAGACTTCAACAAACCACATGAACAGCCAACACACCTCAGCCCAACCCCACCAACCCTACAAATTCCTAACCGGAATATTCCTCTCCAGATACCCAAACCACCTCGGCATCGACCTCCGCATATCCGGCCTCCCTTGCTCCCCCCTCAAAAGATCCTCAATCGCACTCGCCCACCGCAACAAATCCCCTTCCCCCCACGCACTCGCCATAATCCCCAATCCAAACGGCATTCCCGTCTCCTCGCCCACCCCCGCCGGCACCGTAACCATGGGATACCCGGCCTGGGCCGCAACCTGGTACGTCTGGCCTACATCCGGCGGCACGAGCAGGGCATCGATTCTGCGTCCGTTGTGCACGAGAGCGGCATCAATTCCTTCCTCACGCGTTGTTCTTTGTATAAATGACAGAGCCTGGAAGTACGTTTCGTCCATGAGACCTCTTGTTTCGAGGGAGGCGAGAAAGCCGTCTTGGCCAGAGTAAAAGGCGGGTATACCGCCGGGCCAGGGATTGCCGCCCTCGGTACCGTCGTTGGCGTAGTTGTACGCGACTATGTCTTCCAGGGAGCGGATGGACGTGTTTTCGAGAGAGGAGAGGTAGGCGCGGATGTTGTTGTAGAAATCTGTTTTGACGACTGTGTATTCGGATTCGTTGGGGTAGCCGCGGGTGGAGCCGTAGTCCCAGTTCCAGCCGTCGGGGGAGATGATGGTGGCGTGGTGTGGGAGTTCGGTTTCGTTGAAGACGGTGGCGCCGGAGGATTGGAGGAGGGCGAGGAGGGAGAGGAGGTGGGATTGTTGAGGGGGTGGGGTGTGTGTCCAGAAGGTATGCCAGGGGAGGCCAAAGGTGGCGGTTTTGAGGGCCGAGGCGTTGGAGAGAAAGGAGGTGTAGCCGGCTTGCGGGGTTTTGCCGTGCTGGGCGGAGGTGTAGTTGTCGTTGGGGTCGATGCCGTAGATTGCGTCGAGGGCGTAGGCGGCGTCGTGGACGGTGCGGGCGAAGGTGCCGATGGTGTCTTGGTGGATGCTTTCTGGGATTACGCCAGCGCGGGAGGTAAGGCCTACGGTAGGTTTGATGCCGACTAAAGCGTTGCGTTCTGCGGGGTTGATGATGCTGCCGTCGGTTTCGGTGCCTGGTGGTGTGTCAGTGTTGGATCGGAGAGACGTCTTCTAGGACGTGAGCTTGCCTAGTGAGAAAGTAACGATATTCGCGGCTACTGCTGCTGCACTTCCCGTACTACTTCCTCCAGGATTGACGGTTAGATTATATGGACTCCTGGCCTGGCCACCCCTTGCAGAGTACCCTTCTGAATAGTTGTTCGATCGCATATCAGCCCATTCAGACATGGTTGCTTTACCCATGAGAAGAGCACCTGCTTCCCGTAACTTTGCAACAACATGTGCGTCTCGAGGTACCACGCTTCCTATTAGCATCCAGCTTCCTGCGGTAGTCTCCATCCGGTCTTTGGTCGCAATGTTGTCTTTGACAATGTACGGTATACCATGTAGTGGGCCTCGTACATGACCAGCAGCACGCTCAGCGTCAAGTGCAATAGCTATCTTCTCGGCATCTGGATTAAGTTCCATGATCGAATTGATGTATTTGTCAACTTGGTGTACTCTATCGAGGTAGCATCTAAGGAGATCCACAGATGTGATGGTTCCGTCACCTAGGTACCCTTGGAGTTGGTCGATAGTGGCCTCTTCGAGCGTGACTCCTCGACATTTCGGCATCTGAAACAAGGCAGAGGTATTTGCTGCATCTTGCGTTGGAAAGAAGAAGGGGAAGGGCTGTTGTAGTGGATCGGTATCTAGCACACATGTTGTGTTCTGCTCCCCACCGTTGCATGCTGCCCCTAATGCCGTGCTGAGGGCAAGGATAGACAAGAAGGCTGTGAACATTTCGATAATAGCCGGTTAAATTAATAGATGACTCTTGTGTCTTCCGTGACGTTCTGTGAATAGCAATAGTGCTGTTGGGTTCTCGTAGTTGCTTTTATCAAGCGGTTGCAAGGCAACAAGAAATGCGTGTCTTGCTTGCCTACAGGGTACGGACCGATCTTGCCTAGTGATAACTGGAGGAAAGGGCCCCTGTGTCCATTTGCAACTACATCTGTCGATTCCTTGGGTTGTTGTTCCTGTGTGTGATGTTCAATGTTGCAGGAATGGACACGTACTGTGACGTCATCAGTGTCTGATTCAGTCGTGTTGTTGAGTTTGTGTAACCCTCTGTCCGACTACCAAGACGACTACGGACTCCTTTACTACAAAACCGAATTAAGACAATTTTGCGGTATTCCATTTGGCGTCGATTGCGAATACTAGAACGGGAAATGTTAGTATGGCACATATGCTAACTGCTCTATGCAATGGTCACGACATCCCCAGTCCACCCAATAGAGAAAATGGATGACTGCAGCTCAAACCTCAGCCAAATCAAGTAAGTCCCTGCCAATCTTGCCCGAGCTGTTTGATCTCCTTATTTCAGTCTTGTTTTTAAATCATCTCAAATGTGGGCTTGGTGAGATTACAAAAGTTTTACTTTTGCCAGCCTGATCGGACCTGATTACACTCGGCCATCCTTGCCACTAACACACTATCAGGAAAAGCCATCAATCAAAACCGAGTGTACATTCAACCGATAAAAACAAGTTCGGTTGCCTCAGACATATGGACATCGCTCTCAGTGTTTTAATAAATACTTCAATAGTCACAGAAGTTGATGGGCAAAAACGACGCACCAGGGATTTCGCTACATACAAACACTAAGCCTTAAACATTGGTATAATCAGTCCTGGTTATTATTTTTTCAAAAAAAAATTGTATGTCCACTCTCATCTTCCCGCAATGAATTATCGGGTGGTGCGCGGACGGAATACTGTGTCTACATCTCAGAACATAACTCAGTCTTCGCCCTAGCAAAATCTTCCAAATTTCAAACAACCAAAGTCTGTGGACTCTTAATCAACTGGCCAAGTTAACTTCTTGAACCTGGCAGGAGTTTGAAAAGAACCTACAATTATTACCTACCTCTCCCAAGAAGTCTTGCGCACTCTCAAAACAGCCTTTATCAGTGCCCCCGACTACAGGATATTCAGCCATCTCTCTTCGCCTCATCCCCCAAATTAACGGCAATATATCCGTATACGGTATCGTGCTCTCATAATACTCCGCCAAGCGCTGCGCAAGCATCTCCTCTTATCTGCCGAAGCACTCACTCGGCGACAGCACTGCACCAGGATAATTTGAAACCCTGTATCTTTACAGGCATATCTGAAGAAAAAAGTTCCGACACCCTCACGAAAGCCATTGTGCCAAAGCCGATGGCCAACCTCACCAGCGAGCTTTGTAATAGTACCCCAGCTACTACATCCGTTATTTGGCAGAAACAGTTGTGGCTCAAAAATATTGTTCTGCGACATCAGTGCGGCACCGCAGAAACCCGGGGTTTGATCTAGGATGACGCTCGTGCGAATCTGGACCCCAAACTGATAAGGTTACGACGGCTATCGGTGAAGCTGAGAACCGACAATGCTTGTAAGAATATTGAGCGCCATAGCAGGACGCATCTACTGGCTCTGGCAAAGAGCCCAGATGGGATGCGATGCAAGTGGTGGGGCGGAAAAACTAGAAATGATTGTGCCATGCAATAATCGCCCCCAAACGACGCGCAATATCAGTACGAGCGCTGTATAGTATGCATTGAATCGGCTGCCAGCATCCGCAATGCTAGTCACGACATGACAACAATTCGCCACAGACCATACTCACCACGTGGTCGAGGTAACTATGTCCCACAGAACACAATGTAGGAGTGAACTTTTAGCAGCCACCTCCGTACTCTGTATTCACCTTACATCTAGAAAAGAGGGACTATCGTCATCTTCTTCTGTCTAAGACTATAGTAAGACTATACCAAGACTTTAGCAAGACATAAATGAGGTTTGATACAGATTGAATCAGCTACTCCAATGACAGGGGTAACGAATAACCCTCGTCAACGCGGCGCAGTCATACCTGGCAGATATCGCCGCCAAGCAACATAGCCGCCGACGAGCTGACTGCCTGGTTTCATAGCAGAGCCTCCATAGCCATGATTATATTCATGAAGTATAGGTATTGTTAGGTTTGCCTTGAACCCAGCTTTTTTCCGTTAAGTTGTCAGGATGTACAACATACGTGACAAACGTCACATTCATTCATACGATCCACCCCTGGCAACATTTCTCCGGTCTATAGGCCTAGGTGCCTTTTGTGTTTTAATAACTCATCTTCTTCGTTACCATGTTTCGCACGAACCGAAGAAACCAGTCAGAACAGAATCACTGCGTCTTGCATTCCAGCGATGCGCGGTACACATCTTGCCATGTGCTTTCGCTTTGTTCCTTATCATAATTAATATACACGGTCATTTTATCGGATTTGAACTCGCAGGTGAATCAGGAAAGACGTCAGAGTATACGGCACTTCTTCAGATCGCAGCCAAAATTCAAGAGCTTCTCATCATCGCAAGCCTTACGGCCATTATTATGCACAAAGTTCGGTATGATCTCATTGACGGAAATGGCGTTCCCTTTGGTTTAGTAGGGGTAGGAGCACTGTTCACCCAATTGAGCTTTTTCTGGTCCACAGCTTTTATCGGGTCATTTTCAAGTCACGGGGCAGTGAGACGAAATGCAGCAACACTTTGCTTAGTCGTGCTCGCAGGCTTCATCGCTGTGACATCCGGTCCTGCTGTTGCGGTTCTGCTTATACCACGCGAACATACTTGGCCTGCTGGGGGAACCAAGTACTGGATCAACGGCAGTTCAGAAGACCTTTGGCCCTCGACACTCGATATCAAACACTACATGCCTGATCTTGGCGCTGGTGTTTTCGGGGCCAGCTGCTCTTCATCAAATGCATACACCAATGCGCTTTGCCCAGCCGGCGGGTATATAGCGCTGGCAAACAGATTTTCCTCGACCGACAACCCCAGGCCGTGGTCGGCCCCTAAGGACTCTCGATACGCACCAGCTGAATTCTTGATTTGGAGTCCAGAAGGACAAGTACCACCCTACAGTCTAGCATCAGCACAGAGAGCTAGAGTAGCGCTGGAATCATCAGCAACCGGCGTTCATGGTCCTGTAGCGTGGGTTGCGGCTAGGATTAATGACGAATGGCAAACAGCTGCTGACGCAATACCTGTCGACTCTAGCTCCCGCTTTGGAAGATACAGATACTACAATCAGATGAAATCTATAGTCGAAACATGGGTTCCGGCAGTGCGAGTGGTGTGCAGCCCCTTGCAGCCCTTCGAGTCCGGGCAGACATCTCTCCAATTTCCTGTCGTTCCAGAGTTCCGCAGTGCGATCACGAACGATCTAATTTTTGATGATCAGAGCCCTGGTTATCCTACCGAATTGCACACGGTAGAGTTGCCAGACGAGACGTTGCAGTCTCTACAGCAAACACCGCATCCGTCAATTGTTTCTTTGGATATGGCCGATAGTACGTGGACCACTGCTACTCTGGGCATCATAGTTGAGGCCCCTATGCCAGATAATAGTCAACGCAACCTTTCCGCTTGTGTTGTTGATGCGAGATGGGCCAAAGGATCGTTGTCTGTGGGCCTTGCTCAGGCGGTGCAACCAGAGATCTATTCGGTCACAAAAGCTCCCAAGTCCGGTGACATATCTGAAACATCTTATCGGGCATATGACATGTTCCGGTTGGATGCTGGACATCAAGAATCTTGGCGCCGACTTCGTATCACTGCCGACTGGTTTGACGCTGTCAATTTAAAGCTCAACACGAGCATAGATACGCCATGGAATACGACAGTAACAAACAACAATGCTCTGAATTTCAATGACACCGAAACAAGAACGACGATATCTTCTCTCATGTCTATGGCAACATCCGACTCGTTTCTAGTGCCAAATGTCGAACACATACTCGCTTCGGTCTTTGCAGATGCCATATCCCGCGCTGGAAGCTGGCGAGTCTTGAACATCACCGTTCCGATTCAAAGAAAAAAGTACAATCCGGTTTCGTACCATATGCGCAAATCTTCATATCAGTCCGAACTCCTGGAGGATGGACAAGCATACGAGAACCCCTCTACCGTGTCGACGTCTACATTCACCGAATTCCACATCAGACAAGAAATCACAGGCTACGCCTTCAAAGTATCTTCTACGACCGACGTACTTGCTCTTATTGTCGTCTTCTTACATCTAGTCATGGCGGTCATTCACACACTCCGCTTGGTTGTCCGGCGGCGTAGTTCCAGCTGCTGGGACTCCATACCCGAGTTGCTGACGCTTACTCAACAGTCAAGCCCCTCTGTGGTTGCTTTGAAAAATACAACAACAGGGATACATCGGATGAGTACGTTTCAGCGAACGGCGAGAATACGAGTGTCAGATTATGATTCTCAACATGTGGAGCTGGTCTTTGATGAAGATCATGGCAGCCAGGATATACTGGATAAACCGTCGTCAAACTGTAAATATGGGTAGTGATGTATAATATATGCAATATGTTCGTTTTTCTGTGTAGAAGAGAACTGTTTCAATGTCGGTTCTCTTGTGAGCCTTTGGTTTTTCTTGTTTATGATTCGTGGTGTTTTAGCTCGATTCAGATATCTACAGATTGTTCAAATGTAGATGTCAACTCAATCGAATATTAGCGTATCCATCAATTGTCTTCACATTTCAATGAGGGATTTGAAAACAGGCACTTCAAAATCCTTGCAGTGAATCTCACTCACCAACAATAAATCATGCCATCCTAGAAAAGCACATTGTTCAAAAAGCGCCCATTTGATTAGTGACTCTGGTTACTTCACCTGGCGGTTTTCACTGAGCACCAACAATGGCTAAACGATGTCAAATTCCCAGGTAATATATGCTCAATCCTTCCTTTAGACCATAAAACTCCAATCCGTTTCCCTAAACGAACCCCAGCTACTAATTTAGGACCTACTCCCGGCGCCTCTCCCAAAGCCAAGAATCTCCCGTACCAATGGACACAACCGAAGAACTACACCATGAAATTATAGAACTTCAATGCAAAGAAGAAAGCTTACGGGCTGAAAACACCGCTTTACAAAAAGCAGTCGAAGAGCAAGCCACCCTGATACAAGAGCTGTACCTTGAAAAAGAAGGAGAAAAAGAGGAAGAAAAGGTAGCCAACTACGCCGAATACGTCAAAACCCTCCAGGTCGATCTCAAGCAAGCCCGCCACCAAATCGAGTACTACAAAGTCCTCGCCGAGGACTCGCAGCGGCGTGCAAACCGCTATCAGGAGTCTCTAACGCAAGCCACAAAAGACCAGGTAGCAGCCAGCCAACTAGAAGCGCAGAACGAGCAACTCCAACGCGAACTCGTGCAGCACAAATTCACCATTTACAAATTGCGATCGGAAAATGAGCTTGCGGCTGAGAACTTTGCGCGCTTGCGCGATCGCGACAAGAAGGCTTTGGCAGCGTGTGAAATCCGACTGGCGGACCTAGTCTCGCATGCGTGCGAGGTAGAGACGGAGAGTGAGGCCTTCAGCGATGTTTTCACGAATTTGATTGATACGCTTGAGAACGAGAATGTGGTGGCTAGATCTCTGCTTAACGATCGAGCGGCGCTGCTCAACAAGATGGAAGTCTTGTACAGCGTAGTTGTAAGTGAAGTTGCACCGCTGAAACGAGTTTTTAGAAGGGCACTCCAGATGCTGCAGCTTTATCAGGGCTTGTTTCAGGCGCTGTCGGATCCGCATAGGACTACAATTGGGAGTCTGCCGCCAGACCTAGATGCATTGATGACCGGGGCGTGCGACGACTTGCATGCGTACCGAGAGATCCATGGAATGCTTTCGAATGTTGGAGGCGCGGCGCAAGATCAGATTCGCAAGGAGCTTGGTGGTATGTCTGAAAGTGCGGGTGGTATGCTTACGAGCTTACACTACATCAAGAGGGATGTTGGGGCTTTCTTGGCCCGTCTGCATGCGGAGCCGAGAGCCTGGTTCACCATGAAGGCAAAGTTCGGAAGCATCTGGCGGTAGAGTAACCGTGAGGTTGTTCTATACGGACTAGTCGCGTACTGTAAGTTTATGTGGTTTGGGTTAGCGATGGCACAGGCGTTTTCATACGAGCTGACAGAAGTTTGTTAGAATGCTCTTTTCAATTAGTTTCTTCACCGTTTAGCCAAGTATACTCTTTAAGTTCAATAGAGAATGATGACCAAGAAGGTGTTTCACAACTGCATTCAAGACTGTGAAATGGTATGTAAACACAGGTAGAAGTGGGCGCTTTGGTATTTTGGGGCTAGAGTAAGTGCGGAATCGGGCCGTTCCTGCATTACAGAGAAATGGCCGCCTTGGGTATCTCTTGTGAAGATGAATTGCATCTAGTGAGCTGCACAACTGCCTCTTGTCAATATCGGCGTCCTCATGCACACTGCTCATGTTCAGGAACCAAACCCCTGGATCAATGGATATCGAGTGCTTTCAAATCCATCCCAAGTGTACCTGCAACACCATGAACGCCTCGCCGAGAAAACCTTCGTATCATGAGATGTTGTTGTATTTGTGATAGGGAATAGCGCTTAAAATTGGTCCAAGGTCATGCTCATGGATACATCTGTGTTCTCAACCATCTTGGTAAACTCTTCAAAGCTGATCTTGCCGTCGCGGTCTAGGTCAGCCTCCATGATGGTCTTGTCGACAATCTACGAAGTGTTAGCACTGCTTCTAGCGCTCATCGCCTTGGCACTCGTGTGCACACGCACCTGCTGCAGTTGTTGGTCCTTCAAGTTGCTGCCGACCATCATCTTCAGTACTATGAAGAGCTCGCCGTTGCTGATGTAGCCATCGCGATCAATATCGTATACGCGGAATGCGAAACGTAGCTTCTCCTCCTTGTTGCCCTTGCTGCTGAAGGCTGAGAGGCCAGAGACAAACTCTTGGAAGTCAACGTCACCGCCACCGTCTTCGTCAAAGATGGCGATCATTCGTGTTGCGAGAGGATTCGAGGAGATCTGAGGGAGAGCCAGAAATTCGTCACGCTCAATGGTTCCAGAGTTGTCCTGGGCAGGGGTTAGCCAGGCTGTGTGGCTTGTCGGTCCAGCTTCAATTGCGCACCTTATCCAGCTTCATAAATCGCTTCCTCAGGCGGTCTACCTCCTCGCGGTCGACTACGTGCCGTCAGCAAGCATTCCTTTAGCCAGACCCTTTGCAGGTGGGCTTTCTTTTCAGCCGCCTACGTACAATTCGAGCCCGAGGCGATGTTGTCGAGCAGCCCTGACTGTTGGTTACCCATGTTGGCGGCTTGTTGGCGGTAAGGATTAGGGTGCGGTGAAGGTAGGAGTGGTCGAGGGCCTGGCTTGTGGGGTTGCTGGGCTTGGTTGTGTCGCCGTGCGCCCGCCAACTTGGAGGTCCCGCCTGCCGCCACCAAGGGTCCATCTGCGCTAGACGCAGGCACCTCCGACGTCAATCGCCAAGCCAGGACATTCACTGTCCTACACCTGCACATTGCTTCGCTTCTAAGTTAGAGCGTCGCAACCAGAGACATCGACAGACACCATGGACTCAGACGCGCCCGTAGAAATCGGCTCCATGCTGCAGGACGCATCCATCAACCGACATCCATCACCGCGACACGACGTGAACCCATCGACCGCCGCATCCAAGAAGCAACCAGTCCATCTCAATGAACACGCCGATCCAGACGCCTCGGATGTTGGAGAAGACGAGATTCCTCTCAGTGTGTTGGATCCGGTGCCGCGGAACAAGACAATGCCTCCACTGCCAGACCTCCGATTCGAACAAAGCTACTTGAAGAGCATTGAGCACGCAGAGGGATGGAAGGGAGTGTTGTGGATTACGCTACGAGATCAGGTACCATATTCTTATCGTATTTCTGGTGAGATGTCCATACTGATAAGGACTAGGTCATAATGTGCTTTGCACAGGGTGTTCTATGGACCCTCCTCCTCAATGGCTGGAGGCATTGGAATCGATCAACAAAGTTCAGTGGACACGGTGTAGGCGCGCGGATACGGAGGTGGTGGTGGGGTGTTAACAATTGGAGTATACCGACCGCAAAATCAAGGCTGAGGGACCCAAAGTTGGCGAGAAATATGTCCGAGGTAAGTGCGGTCTTTTTGAAAGTTTGGCTCCAGACCTAAGCGTGGCAATGGGCATCGGCTAACGACTACAGTATTACAAGGGTGAGTTTTCAAATGCTGCCCAAGACTGAGGGAGATCGTTCGTAGCATTGCCCGCACTGCTGCGTCGACCGGAGTGTCGCCAGTTGAATTGGGCTACGTAGCGTAAAAAACAACGATTTGAATACAAAAAAATTACAATAAAAAATCGCCTCATCAAAAACATGCATAAGTCGACCAGCTTAACAAAACCCCGATGCAGTATGCTGTCGGAATATATGTGCCTTGGGGTTTCTCTGTGTACATAGAGATAAGACTCAGACAGCGATTAAGTGCAATAGACCATTTCCCCTTCAGCGGGGTATGCAAAGCTTTTGTACCGCCGTATATCCGCTTCTCGAATCCGTTCTCTCAATTGGGAAGAGGAAAGGATGCATCGCCCGCTGTGACGTACCCTGATACGAGGCGTCTACACTGAAAATCCATGCCCAAATCTCTCTTCTTTTTGGACAATCTTGAATCTAAGAGTTGTTCTTAGAGTACTAGTATCGCACAACGGTAAAATCCTGAACTTACAAAATGTGGTCATGCCGATGAGGGAAGAAGAACAACAACAGGGCTATACTGTTATTACACAGCCAATATCGGACAGGAACACAATCAAGTAATTTATCAGGGAAAGCCCTTGAGATGTGCAACTGTTCCAGCACAAATCCATCCATTTCATTGGATAGAGTAGTATGGTTATGTCACGTGATAACGCAAGACCGCGTTTTGGTTCGGCGCGTCGCGCTCGCCGCTACTTCGCCTCCACCCTTGTCGCCTCCAAACAATCATCTCGCAAACAGGAATGCTAGTCGGTGAGTAAAGCTACTCACCATGAAACCTTTCCGCCCCCTCACCCTCTCGCGCCCACGTCCCGAAAATGGCGAGCCACCGAGCAAGAAACGAAGAATTGGATCCAATGCACTGTCGGCGGGCAACCGCCAACCGCTCAACACTATGAACAATCCAGCACCGGCACAATTCCTACCCCCAGGTCTAGAAGGAAACTATTATACGGTATTATGGCGAAAACATACGGTCAAGAAGAACAAGACATGGGATGGGGATGGTGTTCTTGCTGTCGTGGGTGGATACGCTACGCTTAACGATAGCGAGACGGGGAAAGAGCTGGGAAAGGGAGCATGCAGTCGGCCACTACTCCCCGGGTCTACTCTTTCCATTGGTGGAAGAGAAATAGAGGTTGAGAATTCCATGGATAAAGCAGATTATCTTTCGGGTCGCATGTTCCTAGGCAAGGCTGTGGCTGCACCAATACAGCAGCCAAAGCCACCTGAGCTAGGACACAAGCCTCTGTCATCGGTTAAACCAAATTCGAAGAAGACCCAAGAAACTGCTGCCGATAAGGAGAGCGTGCCCGAGTATAAGCCCTCAGCTCATCGCAAGCAGCAATTCAAGGCACCGTTGCTATCTACCACCGTCATGCCACAGCGCAATCCATCAATTCCGCAACCCCGTCACGACCCAGATGCACCCAACGCCCTCATCATGAAACGACCTGGTTCCTGTCCCAAAGGAAAGCAGATAGTTGATGTAGTCGTCGACCCGGTCCTCAGCAAGCATCTCCGAGATCATCAGCGCGAGGGTGTACAATTTTTGTACGAATGCGTTATGGGTATGCGATGCGAGGGCGAGGGTGCCATCATGGCTGACGAGATGGGCTTGGGTAAAACGCTTCAGACCATCACACTTCTCTGGACACTGATGAAGCAGAATCCGATACATGATTCGCCTCCTGTTATCAAGAAAGCCCTGATCGTCTGTCCTGCTGGTCTAGTCGACAACTGGAAACGTGAGTTCCGCAAGTGGCTCGGAAATGAGAGGGTCGGTGTGTTCGTCTTGGATGCAAAGAACAAGAAGATAGCCAACTTCACCATGGGCAAGTCTTACAACATTATGATTGTCGGATATGAGATGCTTCGTATCGTTCAAGAAGAGTTAAAGAAAGGTAGTGGTGTCGACATTGTCATTGCAGACGAGGGTCATAGGCTAAAGACAGCTAACAACAAAGCTATGTTGGCTATTCAGTCTTTGAATACGGAGAGGCGTATCATCTTGTCTGGTACTCCATTACAGAACGATCTTGGCGAGTTCTACACTGCAATCGATTTTGTTAACCCTGGACTCCTTGGGCAACGAACCGCCTTTAAGCGATCGTTCGAACTGCCGATTATGCGTAGTCGTCAACCGGATGCCAGCGAAGCAGAACTTGAAAAAGGCGAGGCTCGCTGGAAGGAGCTTGTATCTCTGACTAGTCAGTTCATGATCCGGCGGACAGCGGAAGTCCTTTCGAAATACCTCCCACCGAAAACTGAGCATATTGTCTTTTGTCGGCCGACCAAAGGACAAGCGGAAACTTACCGCGCTATTCTCGACTCGCCAACATTCAGGCTCGCGCTGGGCAGTACAGATATTGCGCTCCAGCTCATCAACGTGCTAAAGAAAGTCTGCAATAGCCCTTCGCTGCTCAAATCATCCAAAGACAATGATGACACACCGTCCGAGATGCTGCAATCCATCATTCCGCTCATCCCCAGCAAGATCCTCAACTCCAGCGCTTCGAGTGCAAAGTTGCGACTACTCGACAGCCTTGTTCACTCCATCTACACCACGACCGAAGAAAAGATCGTCATAGTCTCAAACTACACAACAACACTGGACATGATTGAGCGCCTCCTCGTCTCCCTCTCCTACACCTTCCTCCGCCTCGACGGTAGCACACCAGCCTCAAAGCGCCAGTCGCTCATTGAGAAATTCAACAAAACCCCCAAAACCACCTCGTTCGCCTTCCTTCTCTCGGCCAAATCCGGCGGCGTAGGTCTCAATCTCATCGGCGCCTCGCGTATTGTGCTTTTCGACATTGACTGGAACCCCGCCACAGACCTGCAAGCCATGGCGCGTATCCACCGCGACGGCCAGAAGCTGCCATGCAAGGTCTACCGCTTCCTCGTCCAGGGCGGCCTCGACGAGAAAATCTACCAACGCCAAGTCATGAAGATGGGACTCGCCAACGCAGTCGTAGACAACAAAGCTTCTGCATCCTCCTTCTCCCAAGAAGAACTCCGCGACTTGTTTCGTCTAGATGAGCGCGAAGGGTGCCAGACTCACGATTTACTCGGCTGCACGTGCGAGTGTCGAGGCAAGCTCGAGAATACGCCTGATGTGTCAAACGAAGAGTCTGGGGAGGAGGAGGAGGAGGAATACCCGATGCTTCGGAAGGCTAGCGAGGTTAATGTCGAGGAGCAGGAGGCGAAGATTAGGGCGAGGCGCGCGGCTAAGCAGCCTAAGTTGAGGATGTTGATGGAGTATCGGCATATTGATACAAAGATTCTTAAGGGCATGGATAAGAATGCTGACGAGGCAAACGCAGAAGATGAAACCGTGGATGATTTGGCGGTCGCGGTGGATGATGATGTTTTCCTTGGTGTTTTGAAGCAGCCGGAGTGTAATGTAGGGTTCCTGCTTACCAAGTCGACGTCGTAGATTCTTTTGTTACATGGGCAGGGATGTGGGAGGTCGGTGGTGTATTTGCTACATGCACGTATATGCATAGCGTTGGCGTTTCTTCTTTTCTATGCATTGGGATCGGAAGGCAAAGAACATGAGGCGGGTAATGATGAGGTGTTTATCGAATATAGAGTATCGCATCATTCAAGTTCTTTTTTTCCAAAGGGGGAAAGGGGTGCGAGTCGCTTTAGAGTACCTGGTTTTTTGTAAACAAAGATTTCATTATCCGGCCAAGGTAAATAGAGTGAATAAGACTATACTATGGACCACGATATGCATCCATCTCTTTGGATATTCCGTTTGTGCAACTTGTTTCCACCAACCCCAATGTTCCACTCATCTTTGTCTTGGCTGGTTCGGTTCAAACCTGGAGGATCGTGGCCTAGGCGTCGGAACGTTGGTTCAGTCAAGGAACATTGGCACATAGATGACTTACAGTGCCTGTGGACAAGCTCAAGGAAGATGCTTGCACCTTGTCTTGTAGCATGGGCTTGCCGTTTCAATGGCAAACTGGCGAATGGGGCGAAGATGCTAGGGAGTACGTGTATATATGCCCAGCAATACTTTTGGGACAACCTGCTTCAACCATCATCTTGTTAGTCATAAAAAAATCGATGCACGCGTCTTTGAGTTCAGTGGCTTGGAAGAAAGTCGGCTAGCTGGTAGCATCCGCAGAACTTAAAGTAACTCTTTGTCATAGTTGAGATGCTTCTCCTTGCTGTAAGTTCGGTCATCTGGTTCCGTTGTGTAGAAGCAGCCAGTGTAAAGCCATTTGGCGTAGGTACTAAAAGGCCGTGATATAACCTCGGGTAATGCGACGGTCCTCGTTGCCCTCTCTTTCCAGTCTCTGTCAAACATTTTGTTGAAGTTGGAGCTTGCACGAAGGTGTGCCTCATTCAAAAAAGAGGTCGTCTCGGAGCTTCCAACAACGACTTTGACAGGTTCTGAAGTGAGTCTTGGTCTCGTCGGTAACCTGTGTTGTACTTGAAAGGGGGGTTTTCTTACATTGGTCCATCGTCGATGGGAAGAAGCAACACAGGTGTGCGTGACATAATGAGGGCCATGACAGGTAGGCACGACACACGTGCCCAGCTTTCACGTACCAAAGCAGCAATAATTGGTTACGCAATCGCCACAGAACAGGAAGTGAGTGGGATTGCATAAACCCAGCACAGCAACCTTGCGAAGGTGGCAGTGGAGAAACAAGCAAAGAGGCTATTTGATCATTTTTGGTTCAATAGATACATACACTAGATTACTTGTCAGGTCATACAGTATACAACTTGGAGACCGGAGAACAATAGAGTAAGAAGAGAAGAAGAAGAAGAAGAAGAAGAAGAAGAAGAAGAAGAAGAAGAAGACGAATTCTAGAAAGTAAGGAAGATAAGAAAGGAAACCTAAAAAACGACATCCCGGGTATATGCGCCGACATGAAGGGACATATCATCTTCGTAGTAGTTCACCGTGTAGCGCCAAATGCCATGATTTGCAAACAGAAGGAGAGAGTAAGCGCATCCAAAAGAAAAAGAGGAAAAGAGGCCGTGAGAAAGATTTTAGTTGGAGGGAGAAAGGGAGAGAGAAAGGACATCAAACACCACTCATGTGTACCTCTTCTTCTTGGCCCAGAAAGTCGGCTTCTTCGAAATCACTATTACTGCCTGCACCCACGCGACCCTCGATTCGCGCGGCATTCTCAAAATCCATGTCAATGTCGTCGTCGCTGATGGTCCGCCTTGTGGTACGCCTGGACCTAGGCTGGGCAAACTGTCGTACGGGCGGCAATGCATTTATGCCATGTATGGGCGTCTCACTCAGTGGGCTGACAGGCACATCGTCAAACTCAACGGCCAAGTTGGCGCCTCTTGATGTCGAGGAGCGAGCACTGAAGAGGAAGTTTGTGTTGAGTGGCCTTACCTCGTCTTCGTCGTGCCAGGAGCGTTTTGAGGGATTGTGCAGACGTTGCGAGGAGGGCGAGGTGGTGGAGTCGTAGCCGCTATCGGCAGAAGATTGGTCTGGGAAGGGTTGGGTGAAGGCGTCGGCGGTGAGTGGAAAAGCAATGGCGGGTCTCTGGCGGGTTGGAGATGTCGTGTAGAGGTGAGGGTTTGTGGTGGGTTGTTCAGCGAAGCCGCCAATGTTGTACAGGCCACAGAAGGGCAGCAGCTCGCGCTGGTGTTGGTAGTGGTCGGGCACGGCCTCTGGCGGGGGCTTGATGTCCAGGCGAGGCCTCGCCCTAGCGAAGCGGTCCGCGGGCGAGGAGAGCATCTTGTGCGTCTTGCAGCCTTCGGGCACGCTCTTGCGTACTCGCATGCCAACGCTCAGCAGATCTGCCTGGCCGTGGGGAGGGGCGTTGGAGGCAAGGTGGTGTCGGGGGTGGGCAATTGGCCGTGTGTTTTGGTGCCGCGGACGGGTGAGTGGGTCGAGGCCCGGCAGGTGGTGGCAGTTGTGCAAGCCGTCCCGGGCGTCAAAATAGGTCGTGATGCTCGGCTGGAACTGTTTCTTGCAGGGGTGTTGTTGGGCGAGCGCAGGTGGTGTAGAGCAATGGTGCATAGCGATTGCAGAGGCAGAGGACGAGGAAGAGGGCGCGGGCCGGGGCAGTCCAGACAGTTATGCAGCCTCGCTGCGGCAGTGGAGAGAGAGGGGTGGTCTTTCTGATGCCGCTTGAATGCACGCTCGAGCCCTGTGCCGGGGGGCGGATCGATCTGATCGGCTGCTCGGCTCGTGCAAGAACGGCGGATAGAAAGGGCTCGATGGTCCGACAGCACTGGCAGAGCGGAAGATTGGAGGGCACAGGCGCAGAAGATGGCGTAGAGCGGTCCACGGTCGCATGGGGACGGCGGTCGCTGAGATGACGCGACAGACCAAGGGCAATGGGCACACGAGGGTGATCGCTGACCAGCTTATTCACGGGATCCACTGCGGGAGGCGGGCTAACATGAAGCCACGCGTGCCGCGTCCGAGGCGCGAGCATGAGGGCGAGTGCGGGTCGCCTCCATCTGCTTGCGCGCACTGAGACTTTGACGACAGACTCGCTCCGCCGCTGAAACTGCTGAGACTCCGGCCCTGTCTCGAGACGGCGCCTCTGAGCCCATCCAAAAGACTCTTCTGCTCCCATCGGCTTTGCGTTTGCTTCTGCTCAGCGACAACCGCCTGCAATCCCTGCTAGCGCCCATCAGATGCCATGACATCGCAGCAAGCGTTATGGCGCTCCGACACTGCCGACACGCATCTTTCAAGCCAAGGGAATTGCGACTACGTCAACCTACCTCGCTACCACGTTCCCATGATACCCTACAAGCCCGTCGATCGGTCGTGCACAGCTAGCCCTCGTCGCCTTTGAACGAGGCTGATTGCCAATCTCGAACCCTCGCCCTCACACTGTCCAGACATGCAAGGAACGAGGCATTGCTGCTTGGCCGCTTGAGACTTGTTTCATTTATCCAAATCGTACAATCGCGGAAGAAACACTAAATCCCATGACCTGCCGACGGCGGGCCTTGTTCCGCCAAAAACGCCAGTACGCCTTACAGTAAAATACAGGTCCATGTCCTCTCGCCTTGTCGAGACCAAACCCCCGGGATATACTAAACAATTGACTCGCCTCCGAACCTAACCCAGCTAGCCCTTAGGCAGACCTTCATCTCAGAGGAAGATGCAACATACTGGCTGCAACTCTCAAGGCAGATTGGCGGGGATGTTGCCCATCTCAACCTCCTTCCTGTGCTGCCTGGCAGCCCACTTGTCCGCTATCCAAGTAACCACTGTGACACCAGTGCTGGCACCGACCAACAAGAAGACCACAAGGGTTCCCCAGAGCGCAAATTTGCTCGATTGACAAAGCGACTTGAAGTCGCCGTTGCCCATGCCAGGCGGCATAGCAATGCCCTTAGGTAGGTCTTGCTCAAGTGGCCGCGAGCTTTGCATCTTGCACGTCCATGTCTGAATGGTGTCGACATCGGGTGCGTTTCCGTTGAGAATGTGTGCCCAGACAGTAGTAATGAGCGTAAGAAGAAGAGTAGGGAGTAGTGTTGCCAAGGAAAGAAGAGCGCGGAGAGTGTATTTCTGACGAAGTGCCAACTGTCACATGTTAGTCTACATGACTTCACGGAACCATTGCCACACAACTATACGTACCTTGGGAATGAATGACGCGATCAAGAAAGCGCCGCAGAGAACCAATGTTACCACGGAAGAAGCGACAAGTGCCTTGGTTCCTTGCACATCAAAGTGCTGGGGCCACATGGGCACCCACCATGGGTTGGACAGGTGTTGCTCGTTGAAGACACGAAGAGTGTGCGCCGAAGTACCAAGGATAGCGATGCTGAGTACAACAACAAGGCCAGTGATGACGGTCTGGGCCATGTGGAAAGGAGCGGGGTTGATCTTCATCTTGACGATCGTGTTCTCTCAAGTTCCGGTCTGATAGATAGTATTGTTCGTAATCGAGAAAAGCTGAATGAAACAAAACAACAAGGATGCAAAGATTGTATCGTTCGAACAGGGTATCAACCAGGATCACCTATTCCTTATCCTTCCGTGTAGTAAAAAATAAAATAAATAAAGAGGGCTGCCAACAACCGTGACGAAGAAACAAGAAGAACGTGAACGAGAAAAGAGCCAGATATATTCGTTCCTGAGGCCGTCGTCCAAGAGGAACAAAACCTTACTGCCTGAGCTGGATAGACACAAGAAAAGTAAGCAACCAAGACGGGTGGCCAACATGCCTTTAAAACGACTTGGTCGCAATTGCGGTTTCAAGCCCACAGAACACCCTTTTGCCGCTACCCGGCCTCTCGCGACCCCCCACCTCCACTCGAAATAGACGGAAGAGAAATGAAAAGTATCAAAGAAAAAAAACATTGGCCCAATCTGCCTTGCCGCTGGAAACTACCCAGTCGTGTCCGCCATAGTAGCGCTACGATACATGGCACAATTGGTTGGTCCCAGCGCTACGTACTAGTCATTCGCAAAGCGCGTAAATCATGCAGTCCCACGCACCCCCCAGAATAGCAATATTAGTCTCTTTGCAGCCCACACTAACTACTGTCTTAACCGCATGCGGTACATTTTGCCTAGCATCCCCATAACTCGTTCCCTTTCGTTGGAAAGGGGGGTTACTGCAGCTTATTTTGGTGGGCCCCCCCTCCCATCCTTGTTGTGTGAGATTTGCCAGCCAATCAGCGTGCGGAGATATGCTTTTTTCTAAGTACACAAAGCATTCAGCCAGTGTAAGCGCCGACACTTTGCCTGAAGCAGCCCACGGTCCTTGCACATGCACATGTGTGCAAGTCCCTGGGTTCTGTTCTTGCGAAGCGCCCTGTTGTGCAGTTGGCGTTTCATGGTTTGGTGCCTACGTGCATTTTGGGGGGGTTGCTCGAGAGCTGTTATTCGATGGCTTGATGGTGTAGTGTCACCAAGTTGTCAGCCCCCCCTCCCCCCCCCCAGCTCGAGGATTAGGTTTTTTTTTCTTTAACCCGTAGTTCGCTTACCATGCGGCCAACGATAAGCCATGGTGCTTGCAAGACGCGCGGTATGATGGGGCCCATTGGCAATAAACAGGTGGGGTCTTTATCGTTCACAACTCTCCCCTCTTACTAAAACAGTGAAGAGTTTCAGGGCGAGTGTGTTCAGTTTGGATGGAGATGTGGTGAAAACTTTGCCTGGAGTACACCTAGAGTAGAGCAAGACATGAAGTGTCAAAGCACAGACTGTCTATTCGTATAACGTACATTTGACCAGAACGGTAGCGGCTCATGTGCTACGAAGCTTGGCCAGTAAGGCCTCCGAACCCCCATTTCTTACGACCCAGACTTTGTGAGGCCTTGGACTTGCCCTTCTTGGCTGCCTCTAAAGAATGTCCCTTCTCCCACTCCTCATCAGCCTTGAACGCAGTTATCGCTTGCTCAAGGTTGTAATTTGCTTGTTCGAGATAAAGAAGGGCAACGTCATATCTATCACTTAAGTCAGCATACACCATTCACCACCACAAGATACAGCACACAGGGCGGCTTACTCTGCAACCTTGCACTTAACCATAAACTTTCTCAACTTCGTCTTCTTAATTTCTTCCTCCTCGCCCTCGAGCGGCCGCGGACTAAGACTGACCCCGCCCTTGTAATACTCTCCGGGTATAAGAATTGTTCTGCGCGCGGCTAGCAAGTGGTCGGCAAACAGGTTGTTTGTTCGGCGGAGGGCATCGGCCGGAACACCGTATCGAAGAGATAAAGACCGAACCGAGTCGTTATTCTGGTCTACGAAATGCAACACATCCGGCGCATCCTCTCCGTTTTCTTTTGACTTCTCGGGTGGTGTTTGCAATGAATTATGTGCTGAGTAGGGTGGTAACTCGTCATCCGCCAGGTGCTCGTCTGGTGGCGAATATGTAGGAGGATCGCGTAGACCTTGCGGGGGCAACGCTGATGGGCCCGTCGCTATCTGGCAGAATGGACAATAGTTTTGGAATCTAGGGTTGTCTGTTAAACATCGGGCACATATAGCGCGGCCGCAGCAGTCAAGTCTACGCTCGAACTGCGAGGGCTTCTCCGTCTTCTCGTCATATGTGGGTGGTATCGAGGTAAGGAGCGTAGCGCATGTGCAGCATGCTTCAGACATGGCGGCTACAGGAGAGTAAGTATCTGGCGAAGATGTGAAGTGCTGGATACAAGATTCGTAATACAGATACACTTGGGGGGGCAAAGGAAGCCATGCTACGTCATGACTAAAGCGGTTAGACATCGCGTTGGCACGTGAAGGCGCGACATGGGTGATATGTTGGTCAGATTGAATTCTTCTTTACATGAATGAATCAAGTGTCTAGACATGAATATAGCAATCTCCCCGCTGAACTGTAACACAATGGTCGCGTGCAATGAGTGCTCAACTATGGGTGTAGGTATAGAGGCTGGTTCGCCAGTCGAACGTGCAAGGGTCCAGTCGGTCCTGCCAAGCCACGCACCGTCCAGTTAGCGAGCGCACGGCCCACCACACCAATTTCCCCGTCAAACTCGAACTTTTGCTATACTCACCGACTCTCCTCAACCGCTCACCACCCGCACCAGCCGAGGTATGTCTTTTGTCAACCCGAGTGCCCTTCAGAGCCTGGGGATGCAATCGCCGTTGTCCGCAAGGATGACGGCGACACTGCTTCTCCTCTGCGACAAGAGCTGAAGAACCCTCATGCTTGCAGTCTGAGGGCACTCTCCATGCTCTGGCATCTGGAGGCTAACCACAATTCTACGCGTAGATACCTCAGTCGCCTTCCGCCGCCACCGAGAATCTCCACACGCCGCCAAAATGGTCAAGACCTCCGTCCTTAACGATGCGCTCAACGCCATCAACAACGCCGAGAAGGCTGGCAAGCGCCAGGTCCTGATCCGTCCTTCCTCCAAGGTCATTGTCAAGTTCCTCCGCGTCATGCAGAAGCACGGTACGTACAATTTTTTTTTTCACAGACGTCTTGATCTCCTTTCTCCGAACGACGACAAAGGCGCGCATCCGCATCCACATCTACCTCCGTTCCTTTCCTCCCCTCCCCTCTTCGGGCTGATAACTAGTTAATGATCTCGATTTCCCACGATCATTGACCTTTAAGTGTCCGATATATTGAACTGCGGAGGACTTACACGTCTTCGGAACCGTTTCATGACGTCTGATGTTTATTTCGCCGCAACATACACTGACATTTGCTTTTTTTTCAGGCTACATTGGCGAGTTCGAGGAGGTCGACGACCACCGCAACGGCAAGATTGTCATCCAGCTCATCGGCCGTATCAACAAGACCGGTGTCATCTCCCCTCGCTACAACGTCCAGCTCCGCGACATGGAGAAGTGGGTCGTCAAGCTACTCCCCTCTCGTCAATTCGGTTTCATCGTTCTGACCACCTCTGCTGGTATCATGGACCACGAGGAGGCCCGCAGGAAGCACGTTGCCGGCAAGATTCTGGGTTTCTTCTACTAGGATGTTCGAGTATGTGGTGGAGTGGGATGCAATATACCCGGGCTTAGACAAGCAAAATCACCTGCATTTGGCTAAGTGGTCCATCATGGGAGCGTTCAACGAAGAAATGACAAAAAAGTTGATGAATTCAAATGACTCTTTTGGAAGTATATGATTGGTGTGATTATTATTGTATGTATTGACTGAACATGATTAACAAAGGGTTGAGAAGTACTTGGTGATATTATACCTTTTTTTTTTAAAAAAAAAAAGTCAAGTCAAAATGCATTCCCTATCGGTACAATTCTACACGGGACTAGCCAGAGAGAAGATTTTTTTGAAATATTTATCTCATTAACTATACACAAGACACTATGCTCAAAGTATGCTAAAACCTAGAATGCCTATCAAAAGCACCTTTTGGAATCAATCCATCCATCCATCATTCGTAATTCATAAAACCCATTGTGATGATGTCTTCTTAAATCATGGACATCAAACTTTCCCAATTGATCAAAGAAAAAACCCCTCCAGTGAACTTAACGCCAGTGCTCAAAGACATCCCCTTCATCACCTTTGCTTTTACATCCCAGATGTTTCTTTATTGCCCCTCTAATCATACAGATCCATGCCAGCATCGTCATCGTCCAGCTCATGGATGGCGTCAGACTCATCGTACATCTCCGAGTCGTCTTCGCTGTCCGTGTGGTTGGGCAGGACGGCAACGTGACCCTCATCGAGCACAACCCTCGCCGTCTCACCATCCTTGATGGAGCCGCGGAGGATGAGTACAGCAAGTCGGTTGAGCACCTCCTTCTCGATGAGTCGGGCCAGTGGTCTGGCACCGTATGCTGGCGAGTAGCCGGCAGAACCAAGGTAATCGCGCACCTCGGGTGTCATCTCGATGCGCACGTTCCTTCCATTCTGGTTGAGTCGCTTCTGGATCTCGTCCATTCTTACGTCCACGATGCTGCGGATCTCGCGCTTCGTGAGGCGGTTGAAGATGACAATCGACGAGATACGGTTGAGGAACTCGGGCAGGAACCAGTTGCGTAGCGCGTTCATGACCATCTCCTTGGTGGTGGGGTCGATCTTGCCGTCGGGTGCGTTGGGGCGCGACAAGTGCTCGGCACCCAAGTTGGAGGTCATGACGACAATGCAGTTCTTTGCATCAACGATTCTGCCTTGACCGTCGGTGATGCGACCGTCGTCCATGAGTTGCAGGAGAACGGTAAGAACTTCCTTGGCAGCCTTCTCAACTTCATCAAAGAGCAGGATGGAGAACGGCTTCCGACGGAGGGATTCGGTAAGCTGGCCTCCTGCATCGTGACCGACGTAGCCAGGTGGTGCACCAATCATCCTGCTGAGAGAGTGACGCTCCTGGTATTCGGACATGTCGAATCGGATCATGGCCTTTGGATCGTCAAACAAGAACTCAGCAAGAGCCTTGGTGAGTAAAGTCTTTCCGGTACCAGATGGACCACAGAAGAGGAAGCTTGGTGGTTGGTTGGGGTTGGCAAGACCAGAGCGCTGAAGTCGAATGGCGTTGGAGACAGATGTGACAGCCTCCTTCTGACCAACGACGACTTGTTGTAGGTGACGCTCCATGTTTAGCAGCTTGTCCTTCTCTGTGGTCTTGAGACGAGTGACTGGAATTCCGGTCCAGCGAGCGACAATCTCATTGATCTGGTCTGGACCAACAGCATCACTCAGGAGAGACTCACCACCTCCACTTGCCTGGTGTGAGTACATCTCAGCGTCTGCGCGAGCCTTTTCACGCTCGAGCTCGCTGATGCGCTGCTCAACATCGGGAATGGCGTAGTACTTGAGATCAGAGGCAGTCTGGATGTCGCGCATACGCTCAGCCTCGGCGAGCTTGGTCTTAAGGCCCTCGAGTTTGAGCTTCTGGTCCTGGATCTCCTTGCTACGGCCCTTTTCGCGTTCGTACATTTCGCGAAGTGGCCTCAACTCTTCCTCGATGTTGGCAGCCTCAGCTCTGGCCTCCTTTAGACGCGTTTGCGAGGCTTCATCCTTCTCTCGCGAGAGGGCATGAATCTCAATTTGGAGTTGTCTGTGGCGTCGCTCGAGGTTATCCAGAGCTTCGGGTTGTGACTCTCGGGTGACACGGACAGCTGCCGCAGCCTCATCGATCAGATCGACGGCGGAATCTGGCAGTCGCCGTTGGGTGAGGTAGCGGGCGGCGAGGGTAGCAGCTGCAACGATGGCACCATCCATAATGGTGACACCGTGGTGCGTCTCGTATCGCTCCTTCAGTCCTCGAAGAATGGAGATTGTCTCGGGGATTGAAGGCTCCTTGACCAGGACCTGCTGGAAACGACGTTCGAATGCAGCGTCCTTCTCGATGTACTTGCGATATTCGCCCAAGGTGGTTGCACCAATGCAGTGAAGCTGTCCACGAGCCAGCATGGGCTTCAGCAAGTTGGCAGCATCCATGCCTCCCTCGCCAGAAGATCCAGCGCCCATGAGGAGATGGATTTCGTCGACGAACAACACTATCATCTCCTTGGACTCTTCAATCTCCTTCAACACTCCCTTCATACGGTCTTCGAACTCTCCGCGGTACTTGCTGCCAGCAACTAGAGCGCCGACGTCGAGTGAAAGCAGCTTGCATGCTGCCAGGTTTGCTGGTACATCTGCATCGACAATTCGGCGGGCGAGACCTTCAACGACTGTAGTCTTACCAACACCAGGCTCACCAATCAGAACAGGGTTGTTCTTGGTTCGCCTTGTCAGGATACGAATGACTCGTCGTGTTTCGTCTTCACGACCAATGACAGGGTCGATCTTGCCCTCTCGTGCCATGGCGGTCATGTCGATGGTGAATTTCTTGAGGTTCTCGTTCTCCTCCTCGGCGTCTGCCGTCTTCGAGTCCACCCGCTTTGTTCCTCGAAGTGCTTGGATGGCATTGTCGATCTGCTTCGTGTTGGGTACGTTTGATTCGGCGAGGATTCGTTGTATTTGGGAATCCTGGCAGAGCGACATGATGAGATGGTCGACAGCAATGAAGCTATCCTTTTGTGTCTTGCTTAGCTCTTCCGCAGCACGCAGCACCTTTGCCATGGCTGGCGAGGGTGATGTGCGCTCTGGCGGGGGATCTTGACTTGGTAACCGGACCATTGCCTTCTTGAGGTTACGTTCGAAGGCTTGTGGGTCGCCATTTGCGCGTTCGAGGACTTGCTTGAATAGCGGTGGTGGGGGTACGTCGACTGTGTTTGCGAGGTCCTTGGGTGGATCTATCAATGACACCGCGAGGTGTAGGGGTGTGAGTTGTGAGTGTGCATAGCCCTTGGCGAGGTCGAAGCTGTCTGCCAGGGCCTTTGCAGCTCGGTCGGTATAGGCGTCGAATGAAGTCATTTTGATTAGTGACTGTAGCCTTATTTATGGCTTGAAGCCAAGATGAAAATCGTGCGTTGTGAACCTGCTGTCAGGTTTCGTACTAGGTGTATGTACACTTTTGGTTGATGGGTATCTCTGCAGAAACAAAACAAGTTGAGTAGGACAAGACCCAGGCGAGATTTATATAAGTTGGACGCAAGTGAGGGCGAAGTATCAGGAAACAACCAGTGATGTGGAGTGATTTCTCGTCATGTCTCGAAGCTAGGCGTGCATTCCACCCTGCACGTAGAAGCTTCTGGGCACCTGCTGCAAGTTTCCGGTCAAGTCGCAGCATCCCCGCCAATCAAGGTTACGTCACTGCTTGGCACGTCATTCCTGAACAGGACTAGCGCAGCTCGGTGCCAGTACCCGGACATCGTGAGATGTCTGCCCAACATCAAATCGTGGCTCAATAAGCACTTCTCGAGTCTGGACACGCCAATGAACAGCGTGTACTGGTATGACTCTTTGAAGCGGGGTGCCTGATTCTCAAGACAATCCGGCGTGGGCCTCATCGACACGTCAGAGCTACAATGGGAGCATTTGACTTTGACAAGTCACGCCTGGCACGAGCGTACGAGCACCCGTAGCCATCCACTTCGTTCGTTCAAGATGTATGACTTTGCTTGACCGGATAGACTGTTGCCGTAGTTATGGTAGACATTGCGCACCGACCACTACCAATAAGCTATTCTGTTTCAACTAAGTTTAGTATTGCTTGGGGAGACTATAATAGCCAACAAAGATCGAGACGGTTGTAGTTACAGAACGAAATGGCAGGTAAATACAGATTAAGCTACTCTGACATCTCTGACAGTTGCATATGCATTACCCGAAACGGTATATGCCATGACCTTTCTTCCAAGTAGGTTGACTAGAGAGAGAAGAGACGTTCTGGTTTCGCAAATTGCGAAAATGGAGCAGCTGCTGAAATATTATGGAAATCACACACTGCAAATGTTGAAGACGAAAGTTGTTCAAGAGCCTCATATAGGGTATATATAATAACTGTATAAACCATATCCCATTCGCGTTGATGTCACTCCCAACTGGGTCATCCGTGTACCTTTTTTTTTCGTCGCTGCAAACCAGTGCACTAACTACTTCGTAAGAAAAGATCGCTTCATAGAGAGAAAGAAATCGTTCAAGCGGAACCCTTGGCCTCCTCGGCCTTCTTCTGCTCATCAGCCGCCTTCTGGGCCTCCTCGGCCGCCTTCTGAGCCTCATCCTGCTTCTTCTGCTCGTCCTACTTCTGCTGCTCCTCTTCAGCCTTGCGCTACTGATCGTTGTTGCTCTTGGTGTAGTTACCCTGTTGCTTCAGGAGCTCCCCAAGCTCCTGGGCAGCAAGCGACTCATTAAGCTTATTATCGTTCTCATCCTCATCGTTGCTTTGAAGGTCCTCAACTGCACCCTGCCAGATGCCACCGAGAATTGCAGCAGGGTCCTCGACAATGTTGGCATGGCTGGGTCGCTCGTCAAAGATTTGGTAGCCCCGGGTCTTTAGGGGAAGCGCTCCGTTAATGGGGCCAGTGGCACCAGCAATGCCATTGAAGCGTCCAATCCTGTCAAAGGCGTTGTCGCGAAGAATATCGCTGGCAATGAGCTTGCGGGAATCGAAGATCATGACGCTCTGCCTGTTGCGGCCACCGCGGTTGGCAACAATGATGTTCTGAGCAAAGAAGCTCTGCTCACGCGTGCGGCCACGGCCATCATCAATGACAATAACAATCTCCTGAACGATGATGACATCGGTTCTGCTGTCACGGAACTGGTTCTGGAAGTTGCTCTTGCGGAAGAGGTTGTTCAGATCGTTGTTGAAGCCGTTGTTGACCTGGTCAACGATGAGGACCTGTTGGATCTGCTGAACAATTTGCTGGCGGAAGCCGTCATCGACGACCCGGATGTTCTGCTGCTGAATCTGAATGACCTTTTGCTGCTTGTTGAAGTTGTTGAAACCGTCGATGAAGTTGAAGGCGCCATCATTGCGGTTGAAGCCGTTGATGACGGAGCTGATGTCGACCTGGCGCCTGTCGAGGCTAAGGCCAGACTGGTGGCTGATGGGCTTTGCGGCAACGAAGCCGGCAGCGAGGACAAAGGTAACAATGGCCTTGAAAGACATGTTGATAGTAAATGTAAAGACTGGAATAGACTTGACTTTAAGTTGCGGGTATTAAAGTTTGTAGATGATTAAACGTCACAGACGTATCTTGTTAAAATGGCAAAGAGAGTGATTGCTGCAGACTATCAAAGTCGCTAAAGAATGGAAAGGTATTAAAGGAAGGAAGAAAAAGCAAGGCTGAAGGCTTGGAGTGAATGTGGGATGAGGATGATTCTCTGTTTACGCGACCATCGAGTACCTTTTATCCATTTCCCGCCATGGCAGAATTTTCTTGATTATGCCCTAGTAAACGTCCATCTGTGGTCTGCCTGGTCCCCTGTGCTATCGTTGTGTGACACACGTAGCGTGATTGTCACTTGCTACCGGCGAAGAATGCACCCGCAGCCGCCAAGAAATGCGATGTGCAACGACATGCCTGCTAAGATTTGCTTGACAGTTTTGCCTTACTGTCTGAGGCACATTCAAGAGCCTGAGGATAGCGGAGCCTCAATATCCGACTGTCTGCCAAGGCGTGACTGTAGTCTGGGGTGTGTGGCAGACCATGCTTTGGCGACAGTGAGACACCATGTTCGGTGCACCTCCTACCCGCTTAAGATTGATAAAGGATCGCTCTGTGCGACAGAGCCGAATGCGGAGGCGGCTAAACGGAAAGGGCGCTGGGACAACTCTCTGCTCCGGAGCCGTTGTGGGATGAACAAGTACGTGACGCTGAGAACAGCACTCGGGAGAACGCTTTGGTCGTTGTCCCGTGACACTCATCAGTCGTCTCCGTTTCCACGTGATTTCGTAGCCATCGTACTACTGCTACTACCATCTACGACGACAGCAACACGCCTGTCTTTCATGTCATGGCCACGCCCAGTGGTGTCATCAAAGTGTCACCCTTCACACGTCCATTCTGTAACATGAAGGGAACCCGCCAACGCCAACTGACTCTGAGCGCTAGAATCTTCCTACCTGTCAGTTTAGAAGCCTGTGTAGAGAACAAAGCCATGGTGGTGGTGATGAGGAGGTGGAGCCGAGACGTCGCTGAAACCCCACGCGTGTGGGACAGAACTTTTGGCGAACACCAACCCCAGCCTCGCTCCCAAAATGGGGATATTACTATGCATTAAGCAAATGTCGATCAGTTTGGACCTGATTCGGCCCCAAGGCATGCGCATACAGGTCGGTCGGCCAATTTAAACAAGATTTTTTTTAAGTTCCGAGTGTCTTGGACGTTCGAGCGGATGCTTGGCTGTCGATTCAGTTTGGTCAATAAATAGAGCGTCCACCCTGCACCTGGGCACAAGTGCAATCCTGTTTTGTTTTTCTGTCTGGCATGTTATTACACTGCATGAGCATACGTGGTTCCAGGAGAAAGGAAAAGTAACTTCAAAAGTCATGAGGTTGAGATTTTGCCGAATGCCATCCCTATGTACACATCATTTACTACACGCCTGGTGTCCCTCTCAACCCCTCCCCTTTAGCGATAGAAACTTCATCTAAAAGCATAACATGGTAGTCCCTAAAGTCACAAATTGCCCCTGTCTCCGAAAACGCCTGCAAATGCCTGCAACGGCAGCTGGCCCCAAGCCGAGTAGGAACGAATGCCAGCCGTTAGCCTATGCGTTTCGCTTCCATCTCCTTGCTTGGGTCTGCACATGAGAATATCCTGTGAATTACAATTCATCTAGAAGAACAAAACAATCTACTCATCGTCCGAGTCCGTGTCAGTATCAGTCTCGCTCTCGGAATCCACATCACCCTCGGTGTCGCTGCCACTGGAGTCATCGGCTGCTGATTTCCGCTTCTTGATTGGCGCACCACCAGTCTTCATTTGACGCATCTGGCCAGCAATGGAATCTATCAAGTGTCAGTCATTATGCTCAGGTTGCCTGGACATGAAAGAAAAAAACTTACCTTCTTCTGGCTCGCTGATCTCTTCCTCCTCTTCGACCTGTTCGGCTTTGCTGGCGTCCTCGACAACCAGCGTAACCTCCATCTTGGTGTCCATGCCAACATAGCTATCGCAGATCAAGTGCATGACGAAGGTATAACTACCAGGCTGTGGAGGGGCGCCGAATTGCATCTTGAGTGTTTGTACATTGAATGTAGGCTTACCACTCTCATCAAGAATTGGCTTGTCAAACGTTGAAAATGTGAAGGGAGGCACTGCAATGCGCCCTTGTTTGCTGTCTGCAAGAAATACGTGCCATCTTGGTGCGTGATCCCGGGCGTAGTATGGAGCGTGTGCTAGAGGTGGCTGAATGGGTTTGTCACTAGTGTTGTCGTTCTTACGTCCCGTAATCGCCGCGACATCGCCTTCCGCAGGATCAATATCAAGAAGATCTTTCGGGTTGACCTCAGGAACGTTGGTGGCGCCTGAGGGAATGAAACGACCCTTGAGTACGAACTGGACTAAGCTGCTGGGTGTGACAAATCGCTCGCCAACAACCTTGAAGAATGCCTTTTCGAGATGAAATAGAGGAATCTGCGAGGCTACAGACATGGCTGTGCTGTACTGTTCTTGGGAGAGGAGACCGGACTTTACGATGCGTGCTTTGCGTTGAGCGTCTGGGATTTGCATGAACTCTTGAATGGTAAGATGTGTTCTTGATCGCTCAGCTTCAGCCGCATCTGCAACAGCAGGTGTGAAATAAGGCAATTGTTCTAGTGGGGAGGATCCTGGTCGGAGAGCTTGAATGAGATTCTGGGATGTCCTGTATGCTGATAGGACTGCCGTGGTGTTGCCATACGCCAGCGCAATGGCGGCATATGCTTCGTTCAAACGGAATGCGATAGGTGCGACGGCGAACTTTTCCTCATTTAGGGTCTCATCCTCGAGTTCAACACGGCCAAGATATGCCCACAGCAAGGTTAGAACCTTGCGTCTCCGGCTGTCCTCCAGATCATCGAGCTTTTGGCGGTCCTTCAATGTGAGTGTTTGTGGAATGAGCGAGCCGGAGTTCTCAGAAAGAACCTTCTGCTCCAACTTGGATAGGCCGTTTTCTGCTTTTTGCCCAGTAAGGAGGTCGTTAAACTCTTCTCCGCTGCTCAGCGCATAGATGACACCCGTCTCGCCTTGGTCGTTGTCGTAGTCGCGGAAGATCTTGCCAGCACTTGCAACCAAGACCTTTTCCTTTGTCAACCTCTGGGTTCCATACCACCACTTGCCAACTGTGTAGGGAAGAATGACACCAAGCGCGAGCGCATAAATCAGCAAGACGTACTTGCCAGATCCCTCGGTAACTAGCCACTGTGGGAGCGCAATGCCGATGCTGAAGCTCTGTTTGCCGTCGGGGTGTCCGTATGTTAGAAAGTTGTTGCGAATTTCCTCGTCAGTGAGAGCTTTGAAGGCCTTGGTGACATCAACCCAGTGGTCGTTGATAGTTTGCTGCGTAATGTTCTTCTCGGGGTCCTCGCGGGCTTTGTCAGGGTGCAAAGAAAGAGAGAGTTTTCGGTAATGCTTCTTGATCGCCTTCTCATCCGCACTCTGTGTTGTGAGTCAGTATAATTATCCACGAGTCAAGGCGCTAGGCAGAACGCTCTTACCCTTGATACACCGAGAACCGCGTATGGGTCCCAAATGTCAGGCGTCGTCCTTGCAGTGACCAGAATGAGGTAGACCATTGCAGCATTCAGTGCCCAACCGCCCACCATGACGAGACCACGCTTGATCCTCCTTTCCATGCGCTTCTGCTTCTTTCGCTGTCCTTGGATGAGATCTGCATGTTCGGGAGTGAAGTCAGACTCTATGCGCGCTCCAGTGTTCTCGAGTTCTATGAGCACAGTCAGTATGGCGATGTTGTAATACAACCAAGATGCGCACCTTTGCTGGGTCTCAGAAATGATATTGTGGTGGGGACGGTGACGAGTGTGGTGACCGTGAGGATGAAGTAGGGGAAGAACTGGCCCTGCAAATTTGTTAGAGGCGAATTGTTTTCTGTGCGCATCCAAGCTCTACCTGCTCATCGTAATTGTAGTCGGTGCCGGACATGTTTAATGTCTGTCCCTAGGGACAAGTGGAGATGTTGCGAGAGAGCGAATAGAAGAAATAGCGGGGTAGCCTCGAGTTTGGCAAGCAGCAGAAAGAGAGGGAGGGTGTGTCCTAGGCCTGTGGCATTACGAAGAAGGCGTGGGCGGGGCGTACGAAAGAAAGTCGTGGCCACTTATTGAAGTTGTTCCGACCACTGTGTTCTTTCCCGCCGCACCACGACACATGGCCGCCGCGATTACGCTTGGCTAAGCAGGGGTCGTGTCGTCACGTGCCAGCGCGCCATCGCATTTACTACGTCACGACGAAACTCAAACCTCGAGGATGTAGATATTTTATTTGCGTGGGGGAGAATGAACACTTGAGCAGGATGGAAGAAGATGTGATTGTGGGTGACGCGACATGCCAGAAACCTAAATTCAGAGAATATGACAAGACATGGTTGGGTTGTGGTTGACAATTTGACTGCAACCTGTCCAGAAGTGCAAAAGTCGACTAGACACATTTGTCATGAGATTTAGTCCACAGACATAACGTTCGTCACGGGCAAATGCGATGCCAATTAAACTGGATAAGATGTATGCTATGCTAGGTGCATGTATTTTCCACGCTCAATGCCCTGATTTGAATATTTCACGTCAATCATTCCCAGTAATGCGCCGATGCAACGCCGAAAGTGTACAAGATGGCATACTATACTGCCTTCTCTTCCTAACCAAGGCACAAGGGCCAACAGCCGCTCGAGGAAAGATACAAGGCCTCGACAAATTTCCGTGTCTGGCTTTTGTGTTCAACAGAAACATCAGACGACCTATGCTGCAACCTCTGCTGACTCTGCCGCAACTGAGCCGTTTGCGCCATTCTGCGAAGGGCTCTGTATTCCTGCATCTAGCGGTGCGGCATGTAGCGCGGGCTTTTCAACGCCCTTCATCTTTCCACTTCTTCGCTTCTCAAGGGCAGCCTTCACCCAGTCCGCAACTTCTTGGTCTTCTACCACTTCAATAGCCTGGGCTGGTCCTTTGTCCCCAGCCGCTTGATCTGGGGTAGCTTCTTGCGCAGCCGCAACCTCTTCTTCATCCTCTTCTGTGATGGTGTCAGGCTTGGCAAGAGGGGCGAGCCATGCGTGCTGGAGTAACATTGCATAGGTTGGCCGCAGGTTGGGGATTTTGTTCAAACAACCCCGTACAAAGTTCTTGGCCGCATCGGAATATCCTTCATCAGGTAGATCCGGTGGGTCGCCATCGACGATAGCCTAAAGAAAGTTAGTAATTGGCTTGCCGGAAACAATGGCATTTTGTAACGCTTACACTAAGCTGACTGAAAATGTTGTTGTACGTCTCAGGTGGATAAGGATATTGTCCAAGCGCGCATTCGATAATGGTCAGACCCAGACTCCAGATGTCGCTTTGCACGCTATATGTACCACCTCCAGGGTTGGCACCTGCTTGTGCGATTCCGCCCGAGGATATTCTCTCTGGTGCCATGTAACTCTGGCACCCGATGTTGGTCTTGGCAATACTGGCGACGAGGTTGCCGCTCACACCAAAGTCACAAATCTTGATAGCGCCCCTTGTGTTGACGAGGATGTTGGTAGGCTTGACATCGCGGTGGATGATGTTGTGTTCATCCTTCAATGATTTCAGGCCCATGGTTGTCGCCAGAGTGATTTTCCTCAGCACACCTTCCGGTACACCATCGGCGTAAAGCTTGTCTATGGATCCGCCGTCCATGAATTCCATGCAAATATACACGGCTCCTTCTTGGAAGAAGGCACCGTAGAAGTCGACAATGTAAGGCGATCTACAGCGATGGAGGACATCCAGCTCCATGATGATGGTAGCAAACTTTGAGTCTTCCAGTTCCAGTCTCATTTCCTTCATTGCCATGACAATGCCCGTGCCTGCAGCAGGCTTTGCGCTCGAAGGACTCGATTCCTCGTCAAAGTTTTTGCGAGACGGCGAGCCTGGCGCAGCCTTGTTTCCAGCAAGGCCCTGGCCTGGCTTGCGCATTCGGGGTCTGCTATGCCTGACCTTGTATACTGTGCCATAATTACCCTTGCCAAGCTCGTCGAGCGTGTCGACTTCGTCAAGTGAGATGTTGAAGGTGGTTCCGCTAGCAAACTGCACACCCTCTGAGTTGAGAATAGCCTTGCCCGCAAACTTCAAGCTTCCAGTCTTGGTGTCGATGTACTGTGAAAACTGGTCGAACTGGGTTTCTTGTTTGTGCGGTTGCGCGTCGTTTTGAGCCTTGTCACCGCCATTCATCATGCCCAGGGTTAGGCCAGGCTTCTTCCTACCAGCAGGAGGAGCAGCAGGGCTGGTGCCAGGCAGTCCGCCTGGGAGTTGCATACCGCGTCGCTCAGCCATGGACTTTTTGGGTTCGGGCATGCGGCCCGGAATAGCAGGCGCCGACTGAAAGTTAGTCGTCGGTGGTCTCGCAGGCATTCGGAAGTTGGGGGGGATGCCGCCGGGATTTCCGCCTGGAGACATTGGGTTGCGGTTGTCGAGGGATGGGCCTGGGCTCTGAGGCGCAGGCCCTCTGCCCGGCAAGCCAGTGGGCGGGGCGCCCTTGCGCCCCAGATGCACTGCTTGTATTCTGGCAAGGATATCTTGGGAGACATTCAGGCCACTGCCTCTGCTCGAGATGGTGGGCGGGTTTGCGGGACGGGGATTTCTGGCGGCATTGATGTTGCCGAGGGGCGTAGAGGAAGATGTCATGTTGGTAGTTGCGGTGGCCGTGGAGGCTTTTCGCGGGGCGGGGCGTTCGGCGGAGGGGTCTTCAGGCAACGAGGCATCGGCCGTAGGACTAGCGGGCACAGGCGAGGGAGAGGGGCTGTCGAAGGCGGTGTCGGAATCGACTTCGACGTCCGGGGTGGAGGGATTGGAGTCTGCCATGGCGAAGGGGTGACGAGTGTCACAGGCCTGAATTGGCGGGGTACGTAAGGGTGGACGAGGGAGCAAACGAGGGTGGAGGGAATAGTGATGCGGGCGCAACAGAGAAGTAGAATGGGTAGCTGCGACGGCAGCGCGAGAGGGAGTGTGGCGGCGATGCCGGGGGAGGACGAGGATAGTGGAGGTGTGGTGGTTGTGGGTTGTAGCGTGCAAGTTCGCGCGCTGTGACGTGATGGTGCAGAGACCAAGATGGCGCCAGTGTGGAGGCTCTGGGTGCACGCACCACGAGAGCACGGGAGAGGAGACTGGCAGACGGGCTGCAGATACGGAGACGCTCGCATGGGGGATTTGGGATGGCCAGAATGCGGGTTGCAGACATGCATATCTGGATTTGCATGGATTCGTGCATTCACGCGTTCACGTTTGGATGCATGTTCGCGCACACGTACATGTTCACACACGACAGCAGCGGGAGGAGGTGCATACAGAGGCCAAGGGCACGCGCGGCGACACCTGGCTCGCCAGGCAGGCTTGAGGAGAGGCGATGCAGACGGATGCTCTGGCTGGTTGTCGGATGCGCAGTCAGCAGGAGGCAAAGTGCAGCGCGCAGAGCCCACCACGTCCAGACAAAGGGCCGATGCGCGCGCCCAGGGCCCGATGATGGATGCGCAGGGCCGGCGCGCCCAGGCGTCTGGAGCGGCGGCGGGCGGTCTTGCATGTGTGGCGCAGCGACAGTCGTGGTGGTGGACGTAGTACGTCGGTAGATGCGTGCAGAGTTGCCATGTCGCTCGATGCAGGCGTAGTGCAGTACTGTGTAGGCAGAGGCAGCTGGTTGGCCAGGCGGCGTGGATGCTCTCCTCGCCATCGCCTCCGACTGCGCCCGCCATGGCCGGCGGCGCCATGTTTCTGCAGCATGCAGGGCCCCGACACGTCCCAGACACGCCCAAACACGCTTAACCAGGCTCGTTCGGTTGAACCTGCACTCAGGCGGACTGAGCGGGCGCCCGGCCGTGACGTCCTGGTCGCTTTGGTAGCGCGTCCCGGCAGCCAAGACAGTCTGCGCTTCATGATATACCTGGACCGTTTCCGCCTCCATGCCACTGATTGCTGCCTCGACACCCCACGCTTGCTTCGCCATGTCCTTCTTCTCCCCGCCCATGGCCTTGCGCCTGCGCTCCCTCTCCTCCTCCTCTCCCTTTGTCGCCCTCACCTCCCAGTCCCAAGACTCCGTCACCGGCGCCATGTTCGCCTCGCTCCAAAATGCCCATCCCTCGCATCCCGACTTTGCCAATCTGGCCCTCCTCGTCTTCGAGGCCGTCATGGAGGTCGTCTGTGTGAGCGCGCCGGGCTATGTTGTCGCCCGAATGGGCCAATTCGACGCAGACAGCCAAAAGTTTCTTGCCAATCTCAACACTCAATTGTTCACGCCTTGCCTCAGTGAGTGACGGCCTCCTTATCTGCCCGTACTCGACCTGACCCTCCGCCTTGCAGTCTTCACCAAACTCGCCTCTCAATTGACGGCGGAGAAATTGGCCGAGTTGGCAGTCATTCCCGTCATTTTCGTCGTCCAGACGCTCATATCTTACATTGCCGCCCTCGCCGTCTCGCGCATGTTCAAGTTCAACAAGAGGGCCTCCAACTTTGTCGTCGCCATGGCAGTACGTCTACCTTTACAATCCATTGTGATCCGGCGCAAACTGACACTCTCAGGTTTTTGGTAACTCCAACTCGCTGCCAATCTCCCTCGTTATCTCCCTCTCCAAAACACTCCGCGGCCTCCACTGGGACAGAATACCGGGCGATAACGACAATGAAGTCGGTGCTCGCGGTATCCTCTACCTCCTCATCTTCCAGCAGCTCGGTCAGCTCGTGCGGTGGACTTGGGGCTTCAACGTGCTCTTGGCCCCAGCCAGCGCTTACAAGGACGATGAGGGAAGAAACCATGCCCTCGAGAGCGGAGAGTACAGCGACGACGAGACGCAGCGCCTGCTCGACGACTCGCATTCTGACTATGAATCTGGAAATGTCACGAGCTATGCCACCTCTGCCGACTGCAGCGATTCAGACTCAGATTCCATTTTCAACCGTGGCCAGGCTCAAGCGGCGGCCCTA